AATTACTAAAGCTGCTGTAATAACCAAGAAGCTAAATTTTACTGCTATTCAAAATCGTCAACAATAGATTTTTTACGGCTGTAATAGTTGATATATTTGTAGAGAATTGCACGTGCCATGGCTATTTATCGACTCAAAGCGAGTGCGGGGTAGTCAGAAATCAGTTCGAGACACGCAACTGAAGCGTGCACATTTAGCCGTGTCGAGACCAACTTTCTGTAAAGTGCACGGGTCATCCTACCAAAAGGTACCTGCCGATATGGAACGAGACGATCTCCCCAATGCCAGTTTGCACGGCGATCTTGTCGCCTATATTGGCTAGCGGTCAGCATACCATGACTCTTTTGAATATGACCTTCCGGGATGTCACGGCCGCTGGGGATCACGGTGGCTAAGCGGGTAATACGCTGGCTCGCTAGCCTAGAGGTCGGGTGTTCTATCCCTGCATTGGCCGAGAAAGTTCATCCAGATTTTCCGGCGTGGTTCCCCCTTGTCAGTGATGCAAGGACAGCTGTCTAGTCGTTCGGATAGGTCGAAAAACCAAGGTCCCGTGTACATATTGGCGTAAGATCCCTTGACAGTTGGAATTCGATATAAAAGTGGGCCGAAGTGCCGCTGTCCGGGCAACATTTCCCTCATAGCACACTGTATGGCGTATGCCCGTCTTCATTAGCCCAGTTCGGAGCAGAACAGTAGGACGTTAAATCCCATTTTAGGACGTTAAACCCCATTTGATTTCATTTCATGTCAGGGCCGCTACTCATTTCTGGTTTCCGTTAGTAACAATAAAACTGCAAAGGGTGGCCCTGCCAATTTTCCCTTGGACAAGGAGCTCTACCATGAGCTGCACACATTTACCCCCACTGCGCCCCGTAAGCTGCTAAACCCAGATCTGAGTAGAGTGACGGCCATCCCATCATTTGGCGAAAACTTCCTGGAAACCTTCGCCTTCAATGGGGTAGTAAGTGTAAGGTTGCAGAGGAACACGGCCGTCATGCCGAGTTCAAGAAATATACGCACGAATATTCTACGACGTGTATTGTCGAACGACGCCTACTGTGTGGCCGACTTGGCCAAACAAATGTCTGATTTGGAGATTACCCGGCGCCCCTTCTGTCAGTCCAATCTGAGAGATGGAGAAATGGGGTTTAACGTCCACTCGACACAAACTGGGTCATTTCGGGACTAACACATGGTTCAATTTTATTTCAATAATTCGCTTGCGCGTAGGGGTCTTTAGCAGTGGGAGGAAACCGGAGGACCCGGAGAAAACCCACGGGGTTGGACAGGCGACCCTATTCCTTGCCACGTACAACCGGGGAATCGAAACCCCGCCAGTTGACTCAATGACAGACCGTATGATAAAGAGCGCGTGCTAACCATTCGGCCATCCAACCCCCCGTCAGTCCAATCTATTAACATACATAAGATAATATAAATACATATATACATATAGTTGATCGGCGTTCTAATAAACAAAATTTATTTGGATTGCAGTATAAACATGAGAAGGAATAATTATTAAATTTCATACATTTATAATAAATTCAATAATAATTATATTTACATAAAATAGAATACATACTTTTACTTCAACTAAGTACCAAATACGAGATGGAATAATTATTATAGTGCATACATTCTATAATAAATTCAGTAATAATTTTATTTACATAAAAATATCTATGTACTTTTTACTTCTAATAATCAAAAAAAAATTTCACCGCTGTCCAAACACGAGAAGGAATTTCATTCATTTCATAACAATATTAATTACATTGTAAAATGAAATCAAATGAAATGGGTTTAATGTCCTACTGTTCTGCTCCTATACTGGGCTAATGAAGACGGGCATACGCCATTCAGTGTGCTATGAGGGAAATTTTGCCCGGGCAGCGGCACTATCGCCTACCCTTATATCGAATTCCAACTGCCAAGGGATCTCTTACGTGCATTCCAATGTATACACGGGACCTCGGTTTTTCGTCACATCCGAAGGACTAGACAGCTGCCCTTGTCAGGCCCTCTGTTCTGCACAACTGACAAGGGGAACCACATCGGAAAATCGGGTGAACTTTCTCGGACAATGTAGGGATCGAACATCCGACCTCCAGGCTAGCGAGCCAGCGTCTTAACCACCGTGGCTCCCCAATTACATTGTAGGCCCTAAATGACCTAGTTTGTGTCGAGTGGACGTTAAACCCCATTTCTCTTTCTCTCTCCCTTATAGATGATATTAAACACATCATCAGAAATTGATCTACCTGAATTAACGTTTTGTCTGGCTAAGCCTTTTCCTAGAAGAAACCTTGGTTAAATCAAATGTTTTCCAAAAACACTATTTTTTTTCAGATATAAAAATTAAACAGTTAGGGTTGAGCAGATTCTGGGTAGCTACCGTATCCGTATCAACGAGTGCCGTGCTTTCATTAACGGATGGTAAATAGAGTAGAGTTGGTAGGGTTTTGTTTAGTCCCCCGCCTTTCGGTAGGTAGTCTTTTTATATTTTATTTTATAAACTTATATTGTGTGCTTGCTTAAATAATGTGGGCACTATGAAAAATTATGCAATCTGATCAAAATACAGAACTATATTTCGTTTCGCTTTTTTATATATATTTTTTTTCGATGGCCTCTACTACATGAAGATCTGACCAGTTGTAGTGAAAGGTCGTGTCAGGGGTCATGCGAGCGGCTTTTGATCCTATGACGTCAGACATTTATTAATCAATCAGCGTTGACGTTTCTAGTGGTTTACCTACAGTTCCGTGCACAGCACGCCAAAAACTCGCCGTAACAGACTGTTTCATTGGCTAATACCTCACATCAAGCAGAATGCCTGTTATATAATAACTTTTTCATATCCTAGTGTTGTGAAGACCAGTAAAACGAAATTTTGAACCATAACAAACGAAACGAAATAGGATCGGTGTATTAATCAGATTGGGCAATATGAAAAAAATACAACATTACTTATTATTAAAGTTTTATTCAATGAGGGCACCATCTTCAAAACACTTAACTTTGATTTATTTTAAGTGTTTGCAAGGGACGTGCGAAAATCTTCAATTTCATGCTAGGTTGAGTCGGCGTCGGTATCTATCGTATAACATAAAACAAATGGATCGGTGGATGGAGTTATCGAATAATGTTTGAAATGTATCAGACATAGGCGTAGGAGCCGGGGGGGCAGGGGCATTTGCCCCCCCCAAAATTTATTTTTGGGCAATGAAAAATTCGACGACCTTTTTTTTCTTTTAACGTTTAGAGAAAAAATATAACTAACTTATTTCTATGAGATCCACACTGCCCGAAAAGTATTTTCTCGTCTTTTTCATGTCCACTGCATATGCCCGAAAATATGCCCGAAGCTCTCTTATGATAGGTATGCCCGAAAAAACGGTATTGCCCGAAAATAGGTATTGCCCGAAAAACGGGCATCGGGCCGGAAAGCGGCAGAGGAAACTAGCAGTAAAACGCGTTTGTGACCGTCAAATATTCCAAAATGTTCTTGGCGGGTCATTCGCCTCTCAAAGAAAACCGGCGCCGCTGTCTATAAATCCGAAATTTTTCGGGCATTTCTAGTTTTGCTTCCCTAACTGTCATCGAGCCCTAATAAAACACTAATTTTACTTTTCTTGTAATTGAATATCACGAATTTGTACTGAATTGACTATGGATTAAAACATTTTGTCTGGAGCCACTCTACTTTGTGCGACATTTTTCTGGCATCGATTATTATTTGTGAATGCAGATGCAACAGTCTGATTGGATGGTTAGAATTCAGAGTGGGATTTCAGTTACAAAACCATTGGATACTTTTGGAGTTGCTTACACGGGCTAGAATAGCAGAAAACGCATTTACGGTGATTAAATTTTCAAATTTTTCTCCGGGAGGGTGAGGCCTCCATATACCGCGCGACGATTGATTGGTTCTTTGGAATTCGGGTCAGCCAGGTAGGCTATATTGGACCAAATTGAAGTTGTTGTATTCACAGACTGGAATAACAGGAAAACGCGTTTGCGGCAGTTACATTTTCAAAATTTTCTCCCAACGGTCCCGTCTTCGTTGACTGGAAACGATTGATTGGAATTAGAGTCAGCCACCTTTGAAGTTGCTTTGTTTACCGGCTGAAATAGCAGGAAAACGCGTTTGCGACAGTTAAATTTTCAAAATTTTCTCCTAACGGTCCCGTCTTCGAGGACTGTAAACGATTGATTGGAATTCCGAGTCAGCCACCTTAATAAGGCTATATTAGACCGCTTGAAGTTGCTTTGTTCACTGGCTGAAATATCGGGAAAACGCGTTTGCGGCAGTTAAATTTTCAAAATTTACTCCTAACGGTCCCGTCTTCGAGGACTGTAAACGATTGATTGGAATTCCGAGTCAGCCACCTTAATTAGGCTATATTAGACCACTTTGAAGTTGCTTTGTTCAACGGCTGCAATAGCAGGAAAACGTGTTTGCAGCCGTCAAATATTCCAAAATTGTCTTGGGGGGGGGGGGTGTATACAAGGTCGCTGCTGTCTGTAAACCCGAAATTTTTTCGGGCATTTCGGGTTCTGCCCCCCTAACTGTCATCGAGCCCCTACGCCTATGGTATCAGAGGCTAGATTGTGATTTAAATATTCTCTTGGAGAATCAAATGAGCGTATTTTAATCGTGCTACGGTAAAAAGCAAGCGCAGAGAGAATCAAATGAGCGTATTTTAATCGTCCCACGGTAAAATGCAAGCGCAGGGAGGCCATTGTGGCGCCATGGATACATTGTTCAGGGGAAAGAACTCCCGATATAAAAAATATAAAAATATCATATCTGGCCGCCGTATGAATTGAAATACGTAATAAATTTAACTCGTCCTGTTTTAAATATCAATCTCTATAAGTTTGGTCAACGCAGGCGCAGTTTCCAGTCTGCTACAAATTGTTCTAATTTATGATGAATTGCTCACGGTGGAATGTTCTATCTACCCACAATTCGGTTTTGTTTTAAATTGATTTTATCCGTCACGTCGGAAATCGGGATTTTCTCCTTTCCGATCAGACGTCAAGCTGCGTTTATCCGTTCCGCTCAGTATCTGCGTCGTCCAGCGAATAAACCTACTTGATGAAGATTTGCTGACCTCAGCAAATTGACGTCTGTATTTAGACAAGACTGTTTTATTCAACACAAATGACCAGAATAGAAAAATTCCTTGAGAGGAGTTGAGAATAACGGATATGTATTCCATAACAGGACTTCTAACAGTATTAGTTATAATAGCAAAAATCCAGAAGCATCCAGTTAAAACTGATAATTTTATATAGATATAAATATTGTGTCTCTCCGCGGTTTGTTTACCTGTTTGTTTGACACGATTAATAGAAATAATAGTGGATAAAAAGAATATAATATTAGTTAAAATAACAAAACATAATGGCAGAATAAAACAATAAATAACCAGTTGTGGCGTGGACAGATAACATGCCTTGCCGCCATAACCAATAACAGCGCCGTGTGATAAAATATAATTGATAATTATATTAGCTGTTACAATAAGGATGGGCGTACCGTTGGCATAGAGACAATATAACAGAGTCTGTTTAGCGCCAGCTGAACTGTCAATCACAGTAAACGTGTCCAATACAAACACTTTAAACATATGATATGAACATACGTTCATCCATAGCAACATACTTAACCATAAATAATGAATAACAACACCCAGAATTTGACATGCAATAATATTGTCGACTTTCTCAACTCCTACTAGAACCATTAAATTGGCTAAAAACAAGCTGATTACTAAACCCATGTTGTTCTTACCTGGCTGAGTTCGCATTTCTCTAAATCTCAGATAAGTTATAAATGTCAGGAATAATCCTAACATTGACAGACCCATCAAAATGATACTAAGGTAGAACTTAATAAGAGTAGTATTACGATCATCATTAGAAGATTCGCCTTCAATATTATACAAGACGGTTTGATTATTATATGTTAGACCAGCCTTATTTAGAAATAACTCGAAACATACCCTGAGTTGATTTTTGTAAAGTGAAAACTCGCCATCACATAACGTTATATTTAGGTGGTCAATTCGTGCAACCATATATTCCAAACTAAATTCACCGGAACTGAATTCAATATATGAACAAGACAACTGATTTGTGATTGGTTCATACTTATTAGTGTCTAACATCATGTTTTGGTCAACTGCGCAACACAACTCAGCCTCCAAATCAGATGAAAAATTCCCATATAAGGACTGAGGGTGTTCTAATGTCGTATAGTTAACAGAATTGAACACATCTATTGCTGAAAAACTGCGATAAAATGTTTTGCCCAAATGAAAAATGTTTAACTCGAAATCATTCAACGAGACACTGTTAGTTATTGTAAACCATATATCGACAAAAACTACTAACTTGCCATTCACCGGAACTTGATTTGTTACACTGATATGATAATCAGTTGAATTCATTTCATAAGATAAATAAGTTACCACGTTATGGACAACCTGTTTGAGGATATGTATTCTGTCCGTGGGTATTATACTCAGTTGTTGCAGTAGATGGTATGAATTACCTACAGCCGTTCTGTTATAATGTTCACAATATCCACCCCGTAACACCTTGCTAGATTCACATCTGATTGGTCGACACTTGTTCTGAAATAACAGGACAAAAATTAGATCTTAATGTCCTGCAGTTCGGGTTAATAACGAGTACAAGAGAATTTTTCGCCGACGGCGGCGGTTCAGCCGAGTGTATATAACACGCATCAAATGACCTAGTTTATGTCGAGTGGACGTTAAACCCATTTCTCTCTCTCTCTCACATGGTGTAAAAAGAAGAATTGTTCAAACGATGGAGAGATAGAGAGAAGGAAGGGGGAAGAACATGTAGGGTCTATTTCTGAAATGTTTCATAATACATCAAGGGATCAACAAATAACTTTCTGTGTCATTATCGAGGCAGTAATATCGATACGCGGATCGATACAGATTTTCATTTAGACTAGCGGATCTCGAGATCTGACACGTAAGGTGTGCACACGGTTCAGTTGACAAGGGCCATAATTCCCCGCAAAAACCGTTATATAATAGTGAATTGAGACAGTATTCTTGTAAGTTCCTAAACGTTAACTTCTCGGACAATAATATCTACTCCTCAGTAACATCTAGTTATTTTGTTTTTGTTTTTAAAAAAAAAAAAAATATATATCTAAATAATTTGAAGTCCTAAATAAAAGCGTTTGATTGTACCAATAAAATTATTAAAAATAATAAATTTGAAAACTCACAACATGGAAATCCATCCAAGCCTTTGTACCATCACATGGTTCTTTGTATACGGCCTTCTCGAAAAGGTCAGTAAAACTGGTCAGGAATTCAACTGGGTTAGTCGTTTCGCCGAGAACTTTGCTTAGATCATTCTTATTGCATAAATAACAAAATATATTTTTATAAATTCTGCCATCGTCGCCATAAACAAGATAAAAATATTTATTACACTTTTCCGAATTTGTGAATTCAGGAAGGCATTGTGATATGACGGGTTGGGATCTTCTTGCGTCACAATATCTCAGCTCTGCGAAGAACGGCGGTATAAGGTACGTCCTACACCTGCTGTGCTGGTCCGTACCTATCACGTCGCATTCTGATTGTAAAGTCCAATGTTTACAACCATTATCCAGGTTTAGAAAAGCGCATTCCATATTTATGTAAGTAATACCAGTAGATTGACATGTAACGGGCAGTATTGTGGAATTATTACATCTCTGATGTCTGTCATGGGCATCTATAAACTCCGTCTTCATATAGTAACCGCCCATGATGCTCGCCATATTCTTTAAACTGAAGATGGATGTTTCCAATTCAGGTGAGATACAGGTGAATTCTGACTGTGGTTGTTGTGTATGTAGTCCTAGATTCATCATCACATCAATACAACAATCACTATATTTAATACAGTCTAAATCACACATACAAACAACACAGGATGGTTGCGTCAACTTTCCATCCTTAGGTCTGTGTTTACATCCCCGACAGCTAAGCAATTTGGCGTCATCAGGGAATATATCAGTAAATAGTTCTGTATCATTGTAATCTGCCGGTATCCGATCTAAACCACATAGAACCAGGCAGCAGCAAAAAAGAAGATATGTCTGTTTTTCCATCTGTACCTTTGTGGTGTCCTCACTCTCCCCGTTCGCCCGTGGATTTCCTTCTTACAACCAACGAGTATGTTACGTCAGGGAACTGATCTTAAAACTGCGTCTTAGAACTTGTGAGTATCCTACTTTGTAGACCCTATCTGTACCTAACTTTTTAGACCCATCTGTACCTTGTGATGTGCTCTCTTGTTCTTGTCCTTATGCCTGCATGTAACGTCTTACAACCAACGGGAATGTTACGTCGTAGAACCTATCTGTACCTTGCTTCTTAGAGCAAGGGTATGTTACGTCAGGGAACTGACCCGTACCTTGCTTCTTAGACCCAGTGAGTTGAATCGATCTATGCCCTGCTTCGTAGAACCAGTGGATAGTCCCTCTTTTTAGAAACAGTGATTTTGTAAACCAATCTGTAGGATGATCCCCTGAAACTAGTTTGTCAGTTCCGTCGTAGAAAACATCCGTCTGTTACGTGGCAAATATAGTCAGCTGTAGCGGCCTAGAAACAGCACGTCTGTTGCTTCGCGGAATAATCGTTCTGTTACTTGTTACAACTAATCGTTTGTTACGTCGTAGAACCCATATAATGCTTACGTCGTCGGACTAATCAGTCGGTAGTAGAACCTATATATGTCTTAAGTCGTCGGACTAATCAGTCGGTCGTAGAACCCATATATTGCTTACGTCGTAAGACTAATCTATCGGACTTAGAATCAATCTGGCTGATACGTCTCTGGTCGTACAATCAAACTGGTTGTTTATCCTCAGTGAACGAATCCTATCTAACCGGTAACCGGTAAAATCAATTTGTGTGGAATTGTAATGACGCCCCATCATCTGAGCGGGTTAATGGAGAATATACTTTATACCAGTTACAATAATTGACGTTTTAACATTTTTATTGTTCGCGTTAATTGATTATCGAGCAATAAACACCTCGGTTAAATGAATCATTTAAAGGGGAAAGACTATTAAAGCATGATAATGGTATGATGTATGACTTCATATCGTACGCGCCAGAGAGGGGGTAAAATGGGCTTTACACGACACCGACTAAATCATTTGAAGAGTCCAGGGGAAGGGCGATCTAAGTCACATTTTTGGTTTTTTGCATAAAAGTGGGTTTAATTACAACTTCAAAATGATGTTTACTTCGAATCATAATTACCAGTGCAACTGACGTCAACTTTTCAGGTAAATTAAGGTTAAATAAAGGGTACGATGGACTTGTATTTGTCCGGGAGGTCATTTCAGAAGGGCCTTGGTTCGATGTGACTCCGATCGTTTTTACCTGAAATTGGTTAGTCCACAGAAAGGTTATACAATTTTCTACCAGATGGCGCCATTAACTGGGGTTTGTTGAAAAAGTGACTTAGATCATTCTTCCCCGGGGCTCTTCATTTGGGATCTAACATATGGTTTAGATTTTCAATAATTCGTTTGCGTGTAGGGTACGAGGTTGGAGAGTCGACCTACCCCCTGTCAAACGTACTATCGAAGAATCGAAACCACACGACTCGACCCATGACGAACATTATGATCTAACGCGGATGTGTTAAACCATTCGCCACCCTCTCCCTCCTCTTATGGCATACACCACTACCAAACTGAGATGTCACCAGCGTGGTAATGATCTATTTCACTAAACATTTCCACGCGCTGCGTTAAACCATTCGCTTACCCCTTCCTCCTCCTATGTCATACGCCACTACCAAACTGAGATGTGATCAGCGTGGTAATGTTTTATTCCACTAAACATTTCTACGAGCTGTTGTTATTCTCTTAATAGATATTTGTTATTTTCTACTGATTGTAACTGTTGATCATTAAATTTATGAATACAGCTATTACTATTTACTCATTAGTTTGATGACACTGATGAAGCAATAACTATGGTTACATAGTATATCGTTAACTAATAGAAAACACGTACACACGTGTGTTAATCGTTAATCTGTTGTATATGGGTACAAATTTTGGAACACTGAGTGAAAGATAATCCTGGGATAGATTTAAGAAAACTAATGAAGTAAGTGGCCAATTGTAACTTATTGACTATTAAACATACATTATGCAAGATCTAAATCTACCTATTGCAGGTCTTTCTTTAGGCCTGAAATGTTATCTAAATTATTAACTAGACATTAATTAACTTATCCCGTCAATGTCAACGCTAGCCTGCGATGTTTATAGGATTAGGATACCATTTGCTGTTCCACTTTCATTCTTGATTTAATCATGAAATGGATAATCAAGACTATGTTTTTATCGTACCGACTTTAGTAATGATGATCGAGGCTAGGCAAAAAATTCAATTGTCAAAATCTCGGTTCAGAGTGGATCAATTTGACTGAAATTTTCAGTAAATTCCCTTTACATTATGTAGTTTTTAACTATTTTAGTGAGAACTACCAGCTCTTTATTTAATCTCCCATAATGTATCTTTAAGTCAAGGAACTAGTTTTAATACAATGGTTTTACGTTAATTTTCTGTTCGTGATGTCATCTGCTTTCACTTTATAGAAAGGGAATATATTGTTGAATTCAGTAATAGTACATTATGCATTATCAATTATTCAGAGGCATTTAAGGTATACCGGTATTGATATTTAATTACATTCGAGATATAATAACTCTGGGAATACATCATGTAAACTTTTGATAAAGACCAGGACGGTCTTGCTATAATGGCTCAAAAATAGATAATGTAAACTAAATATATTGAACATGTCATTATAAGCGAAGTTACCACCGTTTGAAGTTTTGACACCATGGGACATAAATTGTTTATTATCTTAACAATGGTACTTGTTATTCGAGACTTAAATTAAATGGCGACCGTGATTTAATCCGTTTAAATCCCCGCCATCCGATGCTCCAGCTAGAATGTTGATTATAGGCTTGTCATGTAAATATATAATGATATTGTTACGCAGTTAGCATTGGTTGTCGGACTATAGACCAGTCATAATTTGGAACAGAAATTGACTCCCGTTTCAGCAGTGTTAAGTAGGATTAGCTCTAATCAAACGAAACACTGTGGGGATTATGACTGGTACGGTTAATCTATAGTATATTGACATGACCATGAATTTCATGATGGAAAATACGAAAATGTCCAAGGAGCTGACATCAGATATTTCATTTAGTTGTGAAACAAAGAAAGGGGCAGAGGAATTTGGAGGAACGTGGTTTAACGTCCGCTAGACACAAACTAGGTCATTGTGGGACTAACATAAGGTACACTTTTATCTCAAAAATGCACATGTGCGTAGCGGTTTTTAACAGCGAGGGGAAACCAGGGGTCCCAGAGAAAACCCTAACCCTTTTCAAGTGGTCTTGGGTTCCAAATCAAGCCACTTGAATCAATGACAGATCTAAAGCGCACCCGCGCGTCAGACTACTCACCCCACCCCACCCCACCCCATTTAAGGGCATGAAGTTTATCGTCATAACTTTACTTATTTTGAGATGATGACAATGCTTTTTATTTTGCTTTTTTTCACAATGCAAGAAAATATATTTTTGACTGGACAGCAAGCCAGTAACTAGAACATATAATGTTGATACGTTCCCCAGTAATATCATCCTTTTCCCTGAAAAACTTTCTTTTACTTTTAGGGAGCCACGGTGGCTAAGTGGGTAAGACGCTGGCTTGCTAGCCTGGAGATCGCATGTTCGATCCCTGCATTGGCCGAGAATGTTCATCGGGATTGTAAGTCGTGCAGGATGGGGGATTGGCAAGGTCAGCTGTCTAGTCGTTCGGATGTGACGAAAAACCGAGGTCCCGTGTATATATTGGCGTGCGCGTAAAAAATCCCTTGGCAGTTGGAATTCGAAATAACAGTAGGCCATAGTGCTGCTGCCCGGGGAAAATTCCCCTCATAGCCCACTGTATGGCGTATGCCCGTCTTCGTTAGCCCAGTATAGAAGCAGAACAGTAGGACGTTAAACCCCATTCCATTTGATTTCTTTTACTATGACAAACCAATTTAACTAAATACAAAATAATTTATTTACCAAAAATATAACATGCATATTTAGCAATATACTATACATCATCCAACAAAAAAACAATAAAAATTGAGAAAAATACCATTTCAAGATTTGGCGATAAACGCCCGGTACATTGACTGTGGTAGCCGATGTCTTGTTGTACGTACACGCTAGGAACGGTGTCATGGCTGTGTCAATCTGATGTACTGGAGCCTGTTTCACGAAATTTTAAGTAAGATAAAATTTGGATTTTAGTAATTTGATTGTATAATATTAGATTGATTTAAGTACTTAGCCAATCAAGATTGAATTATCTACTAAAATATGGATTTTATCTTAGTTAAAATTTTGAGAAATAGGGTCCAGGTTCATAATGCGAAGAAGGATATCAGGTTCAAAATACGATCAGAGTTAAGAGTAGAAAATTGAAAGTAAAAGAGGAACTTCTTATCTCAATGGGAGAGGAAAACTGTATCTTCATGCGTTTATCCTGAAAAAAGATCTCATCTTTTCAAATTTAAATTTCCAGAATTGTACTTTAATCGACATAATTTCTACTATCGGCTTTTGAGTTTCGGGTGTCTACTTCAGAGTTGATTCTCCGAAGTATTTTCTTTCCTATCAATGTTCTACTTTAATAATCTATATTGCATTTTGAACCTGATCAGTGATATATCCCCCCACCCACCAATATGAAAGTCAGTGTCCATTTAATTAAATGTGAAGTGGATCACTGCTTAAACCAAAATTAATTGAACAAAAATCAACTTCCGTTGATATTCTGAAATGAAATTTAGTCCTATAGGGCTTGTCCTATCCCAAAAATCTAAACGGGTTAGTTCCCTCTAGGGCTCATTGCATTCTCTTATTTAGGAATAATCTTAAATTTTTCACAATATTTTTCAAGGGTAACAGCCAAGCATGGAGAAGGTCAATATCCGTTCATCGCAGTATACAATTAAACACCAGCTACAGCAGTCAAGGGACAAGACGTACGTCATAATATCTTGTTATTGTGAAAATGGACAATACATATTCATTAATTATGATGAAACACATAAAATAATTAGATCATTCGACACATCTCAAAATTATTTGTAATAGTCATATTTCTTACTTTTAGTCAAAATAAAATTATTGGCTTACAATGAACAAAATAACCAAGACACCCAGTCCTGTCAACCACACGAGCCACACGACTGTTCGAGATGGTCAAAGGTCACAGTGGTTAGCCAGTGGTATACTTTAATAAATAAGATAAAGATATCACCTTAATATGTAATTGCTAAGTAACATGACAATCGTAATAATAGTATTTTTTGGATTTGACATTTAATAAGATTTTACGACCACACCTGTAAGATATTTGAGCAACACAAGTTTTCCCTGTAGTTAATATATGGTTAGTGTAAGTATATAATTCATTAAATAATGGAACTAAGTTGGCGCTTTATTACATCAAATAATAAAATAAGACTTTTCGAAAAAATTCAAATAAAATAACAGAGTTTGTTGCATTAAACATACATTATGCCTATTGCAGGTCTTTCGTTAGGCCTGAAATGTTATATAAACTATTCAAATACAGACGTGACGTCATCCGTTGATGTTATTTCAAATAATGGTAAGGACAATGCGCCATGCGTACATTATTTATACTAGTTAAAATTTTGGACTCATGTGACGCATTTCATTGCAAAGCACGTGCGGGTGTCTGTATATTAAGTGTGGTTTAATGGTCTCTATCTTAAGACATTGTGTATTATATTGAAACAACAACTCGAAACAACAACTCGTGACAACGTCACTCATGTTGTTTCAATATATTACTTACTGTCTCGCTCCCAACCATTAAACCAAACTTAATTAGACATTTATTAACAAGACAAGAGTATAATCAACTCTTGATGGCATCGGATACTTGAGATTTTAACTAGATTAGAACGGATCGCCATTCAAAAATTTAATTTTAAAATGGGAAAGCGAGGCTATGTCTCAAATATACCAGTGTCCTGGTTACCACTCTGCACTATCAAACCTACACACAGTGATGACTTGGTTCAGAATGAAGTAATTTGAATGAAATTTTCAATATTTTCATTTTACATTATCTATTTTTGAGCTATTATAGCAAGAATGGTCAACTCTTTATCTAAATCTTACATAATGTATCTTTAAGTAGTTTTTTTTTAAATACACATAACATACAATTAAAATTAGACTTTTCGAAATAATTCAAACAAAACTCACATAGTTTGTGACATTAAGTAGTTTTTTTTGTTTTTTTTAAATAAATAAAAATACATAACATGCAAATAAAATTAGATCATTTTTCGATAATTGCTTTTCGAACACATATAAATCTCTAAAATTTAATATGTTTTTAACCACAGCTATATCTCTCAAATTCAAAAATTTCATGAGGCATTAAGTAGGTTTTTTGTTATTACATAATATACAAAAAAAATAAAATGCATTTTTGTTATTATTTTTCAATCACAGCTAAATCTCTAAAATTCAAATATTTTGTGGCATTAAGTAGGGTTGGTTTTTTTTTTTGGGGGGGGGGGGGGTCGTTTCGCTTTCAAAAACACAGACATAAGTTAGGTGTATTTTCTATATTATTTTTCAATCACAGCTGTATCTCTAAAATTCAAATATTTCGTGACATTAAGTTGGGTTTTGTTATTACATAACGTGCAAAAACAATTCGATATGTATTTAATAATTCTTCCAAACACATCTATATCTCTAAAATCAGGGTATTTTTTATATGTTTTCAATCACATATATATATCTGTCAAATTTAAATATTTCGGAAAATAAGATAGTTTCTGTTATTAATTATATCATTTTTGATGTTTTTCCATTACAGCTATATCTCTAATATTCAAATATTTCGTGACATTAAGTAGGTTTTCTATTTCATAGAAAAAAAGAGATGGGGTTTAAAGTCCACTCGACACAAACTAGGTCATTTCGGGCCTAACATATAGTTCAATATTCTTTTCAACAATTCGCTTGCGCGTAGGGGTCTTTAGCAGTGGGAGGAAACCGGAGCCCGGAGAAAACCCACGAGGTTGGGCAGTCGACCCTACTCCTTGTCACCCACAACCGGGGTATGGAAACCACGCCAATTGACTCAATGACAGACCTTGTGATAATACGCGCAGGCGCTAACCACTCGGCCATCTTCTCCCCTTAACCGCTAACAAATGATAACCGGTTGTAGTCATCAATGCACTACATCGGGTAAAAATTAAAACCGAGAATCGTTAGTCATTACATGACGTTAGGCAGTGGCGTTGCGTGGCGCAAATTTCTCAGGATGCGTAATATTTCAAACGAACGTAGCAATAGTTGCCAGGCTACCCCACTGTGTATACGTCATGATATCAGATCTAAAAATACAGGCGCATTATATATAGCTATGTATCAAAAACGGGTGATTTTTTAAAAACATGAAGGCAAAAATACATACGTCTCACACAAAAGACGAGAGAATAAACCCTTTGCTAAATTCAGATTTGCACTCAAATTCAGATCAATATATTTGAGCCTCGTAAAAAAGGCTTCATAATAAACACAATGCACCAAATACACAAAAGCAGAACATTGATATTCAAAATATATTTTAAAAAGCATATTCAATTTTCTTATTAATCAAAAACATAAATGGGACGGACCATAGATGCCAACAAGTGGATTTATGTTGTAGCTAACAACAGTAAAGAAAGATACGATGGATTGTTAATTTTGGCTAAATTATAGATACAATTAATTTATACCCCAGCAAGATATATACTAAACCATCAACCTAACTGCTGTAGAAATGACATGATTTAAAAGTATTAAGGGAGAAGACCAAACGATTTACAACATGGTTTCAATCAAGCCTGGAAATAAGTCACCTGTCACAGACAATGTCAGGCACAAATTCGGGCTTTGTCAGGCACAAAACCCGTGATGCCTGTCATTTTGTCCCGCACGGATTTATCTTTTTTATTGATATTATTAATACATGTCAGGTACTATTTCATTAGTGTCTGACATTTTGTCAGGTACATCTAAAACCCTTATTTCCTGGCCTGCTTTCAATAAATTTTAAATATATGTTTAGAAATAATCACACGTGTAATAAGAGCAATATTTTGTGTATGCGAGTAATTAATTTCTATTAAAAATTAATACAATTTGATTAAAATACGGATCTATATTTTGTTTCGTTTTTATACTTTTGATGGCCTCTACTACATGAAGATCTGATCAGTTGTAGTGAGAGGTCGCGTCAAGGGTCATATGAGCGACTTTTGACCTATGACGTCAGACATTTGTTTAAGCAATCAACGTTGATGTTTCTAGTAGGATACCCACAGTTCCGTGCATCGCATGCCAAGATCTCGCTGCAACAGACTGTTTCATCGGCTAATCCCTCACATCAATCAGAACCCGGGTTATATAACAACTCTTCCAGATCCTAGCGTAGTAAGGGCAAGTAAAACGAAATTTTGAACTATAAAAATCGAAACGAAATAAGATCTTGAAACTAATAGAAACCTTGTTAGAAATCGTTCACCTTCCGCCCCTTTAAGCAATGCCAGAAGAAACATTATTTCTGAACTATTTAACTGCTTACATGTGATTCAGATACCTAATATTTCGCAAACAGAGCATATAATAGAACAAAACTGCGATGTCTATTGGATAAGGTTCCGATTTGCTGTTCGACTTCCATTCATAATATAATCGATCATGAAATGGATAACCGAGACTATGTTGTTGTTTTTTATCGTACCAACTTTAGTAATGATGATTGAGGCTAGGCCGAAAAATCAACGCTAAATTTTCGTTTAAACATATTCCCTTTACATTATCTAATAATACATATTCAATAATGTATCTTTAATTAATATTCAAATATATAATATTTAATCACATTTATTTTAAAATAGCACACTCTTTTTAATTTGGGTCAAAAATTAAAAACAATTGTGTTGATGGTTCACACACCACTAACAAAAACAATGCGTTCTTTTTTTTTATAGCCACCCGTATTAAAAATAAAAGTATTGTCTCGCCCCCTTTTTTGATTTGGTTCACACAAATTACATTTTTATGCGTTGATGGTCCACACACTCCTTAAAAAATCAAGTGCTGTTTTTATCCACCAGTATTAAAAACAAAAGCATGGAAACAAATATAAAATATATCACAACGCAGAACCTGGGTTAACTTCATTAATATTCAAATAGGATATTTAGAATGGCACATCCTGATTGATTTCGGTCAAAAATTTCAATTATATGTGGCCACTTATTAACACATTTTTCGAGCGATGTCGCCTTATAATTCGTGAAAAAATAATATAGCACCCCCTCCTCCCTCCCGCAAGGAAAATTAAACAAAACTGTAAAGAAATATAACAAAGGGAAACGTGGATCCTAGATTAACTTCATCCAAACTTAAAAACATGTGTTATCAAAATGGCAGCTCACAAGTTGCGGATCTATTTTACAATTATTTACAAAAAAACAAAATCGTTTATTAAACAAGAAATAATCTGATTAAAATACAGATCTTTATTTCGTTTCGTTTTTTTTTTTTTTATCCTTTCAATAGGGTACACTTCATGAAGATCTGACCAGATGTACTGGAAGATTGCGTCAGGGGTCGTACGAGCAGCTTTTGACTCGATGACGTCAGACATTGATTAATCAATCAGCGTTGATGTTTGTGGTGGTTTACAGTTTACCCATAGTTCCGTGCACCGCACACCAAGAACTCGCCCTAACAGACCCTTTCATTGGCTAATGACCATTTCAACCAGTACGTGGGTTATATAACAACTCTTTCAGATCCTAGTGATTTTGAACTATAAAAATCGAAACTTAATAAAAATTTGTGTTTTAATCAGATTGAACAAGGATATAAAAAAAAAAGCAAATCAGTATCTTTCATCGTCCAACGAACGCGAAGTTCGAAATGCATGGGGTTGTTGTTTGAGATCTTGATAAAAATTGGATAATCAAACGTCAGGATATTAATAATAATTATTAGCTACTATGAATCCTTATCTAGATCCGTTAAAGATTCAGAATCCATTCTGTTTGCTCCAAACCCTACAGAAACAGTCTGGTAACGTGGCTCGTTTTTTTTTCGAATTCAAAATGAGTGTTATTCACTGAACAACAACGATGTCATATAAAACAAAAATACAAATTTATATGGAAAACAATCACCGATTTTATTTCACACTACGTGATTGTTTTCCATATAAATTTGTGTTTTTATATTATATGTTCAATTACTAAATGCCGTAAAAGGATTTCAACAACGATGTCAGTGAACCCAATTCTTATTGGTTAATCTTTTTGTGGTTCGAATCTGGATAGAGAATCTAGATATGGATTCTTGATAACCAAGTGCACTCTAGATGACAAACAAGCAAACACTAAACTGTCCGATAACGATAGCATCGTCAACATCATCATCATCGTCGTCTTATTTCAAGCTTGGTATGATTAAAGTACTCTGAAAATATTTAAATATCAAATATTATTTCATATCCAGTCACGCAAATCCATTTTTAAAAGAAGTTTCTATCACAAAAATGCAGGGGAAACAACTCCCATAGTCATTATACATAAAACAAGATGTTGAATATAGTTGTTTCGTTGTGAATTGCTTGATGTTTAATTACCCTGGTGATATTAAACTATATCTTATAGAATAAAATTCAAGATTTCAATAATGACCGTGTCCTGTGTCTAGCTATATTAAAATATATCTTACAGATAAAAGGTTGGCAATTAATACACAGAATGGTTATATGAAAAATAAATTAGTCTTTAGTATTCCATTGCACGTCTATAATGATTAAATGAAATGGTTCATACGCCTGGATTAGGGCCTAAAAATGTGCGAGTTGGTACAAAGTCTCTACTATATAGTGATTAAAAACAGTTATAAAATTATGAAATCATCTCGCCTTTCTAGCCTCATCAAGGGCGATAACCGAAATTACAAGCTTCACTAAGGCTGTGGTGTTATCAATGTCTGTTTTATCTTACAAGACATATATTGATATTATAAAAGATGATCTAGTCATCTGATTAATTAAACTTATAATGTCAAGGAATGCAAACGATGATCTACTGATATGACTAATTAAACTTATAATAATGTCAAGGAATGAAAACGAGTATTGATTAATTGTGAAGGTCGTGGGATGTTCCGAACGAACTTTTAGGCAAACACGAAAAATAGGAGAGTGTGGTCTCGAACTCAACCCGCACAGATACAAAAATAAATAAAAAATCAAATAAAAAAATATTAATATATACAGTAACACCAGGGTATGTTAGATATGGTAACTAATGTTAGATAAGAGAGAGAGAGAGAGAGAGAGAGAGAGAGAGATTATATTTCTAAAGTAGTAAAATGTCCCAATGTCCTCCACTGTCTACCTGATATTCCAGAAAGACCAGGAGACATTTTACACCAACATGTAGAGTGCAGAAAGATTAACAAGAAAATAAGAATTTTAAACCGCTAGCCAGAGCCACATTATAGAGAGAGCCTGGTGATCTGTTGTCATTGGGTAACAAAATGGCTGCTTTGTCTAAGGGAGAGAGAGAGAAAAATGGGGTTTAACGTCCACTCGACACAAATTAGGTCATTTCGGGACTAACATATGGTTTAATTTTATTTCAATAATTCGCTTGCGCGTAGGGGTCTTTAGCAGTGGGAGGAAACCGGAGGACCCGGAGAAAACCCACGAGGTTGGACAGGCGACCCTACTCCTTGTCACGTACAGCCGAGGATTCGAAACCACGCCAGTTGACTCAATGACGGGCTTTATGATACAGCACGCACGTGCTAACTATTCGGCCATTCAACCCCCCCCCCCCCTTTGTCTAGCTGACAACCCGCCGTACGTGTTTTGACACGCACTGGTCGTGGGGTTTGGTAGCTCGCTGACCGACCCAAAGAAACCGGGGTATGTGCAGGACCAAAAATCTCTACGACCAGTCTGCGATCTTCTATGGTGCCGAACACACGCCACTGACGCATAAGACTCAGGCACGGGTTTACGCACTGGTCGTGGCGTTTGTGAGCTCGCCGACCAGCCGCAAGAAACCGAGTTTTAAAATTTGGTATGTGCAGGACCAAAAGTCTGTACGGCCCGTTTCGATCTTCTAAGGTGCCGACCACACGCAAGTGACGCATTAGACTCAGGCACGGGTTTACTCACTGGTCGTGGGGTTTGGCAAGCTCGCCGACCAGCCGCAAAAAAACCGAGTTTGAAATTTTCTATCTGCAGGACCAAAAGTCTGTACGGTCAGTCTGCGATCTTCTAAGGTGCCGACCACACGCAAGTGACGCATAAGACTCAAGCGCGGGTTTACTCAAATTCCTCCTGTAGTCTGCCCGTACTCGGGTTGTGAACTAGGCTTAATCCTGCTATTACAGATTCTTGTACAGGCCCCGCTATATCTTAAACTGAACAATCATTCCGTTTGTTTTCTCTGACTCTCATTTTTATATTTTGTTTGATCTGTTAAACTTACAGATTAGATAGCAAAATGGCGACCATGATCGACGTTGGCCAGGCCCCGAGTTCACAAGGCATTCTCAGACTTAAGTTAAGAATTTACTCAAAATTATTCGCTTTAGTTTAACTAAAATATAGTCCCTTTATCAAACTTTTGTTGTTTTAATGTATTAAATACATCAATAACAATCTATGTTCAAAGTTTTGTGTTTCTGGATCAAAGATATTTCTCATAAATAGTGATTGAAAGTTGAGTAAATTCTTAACATAACTCTGAGAAAGCTTTGTAAACTCGGGGCCAGACTATTTCTATATACGACTCTGCTGCCAGCTAATTATTAAAGATTAAAAAGAATAATGGAAAAGATGAAAAGTGTTAAAAGTATTAAGTTGAAAATAACTTAAAACAAAACAAAGCTGTCATAATTCAGGAAAGGCTTTGTATAGCTGCTATTAAAATGTTCAAAAGTTATAATTTGTTTCTTTTTATCTTTTTTCTTATCAGAATTTATTACATTATCAGACATGAATTCAAATTTTGAATTTGTTTTACCGTTCAAGGTAAATAAAATGGTCCCTGGCTATATCGGAAAGGATGGATTAGTTTTTTTTTGATGTTTAAAATGGCCACATCTCTTTGATTTGGGTGAAAAATGTAAATTGTCGATTTCAGTGAATATAATTTGCTTATTAGAGGGGTAAACTTAAATTTGGGAATTTATGACAGCTTTAACGGCATAAAAATTCGATCCAAGCTGACACAACAAATCGAAATAAAACTTGTTTTATTGGCAAGTCTGGACCTAAGGCACATGTCACAACGTATAAATACAAGGGTGGAAATAAGGCAGCCGTTACTTTGTAAGGCACAAATTATCACACAACATATATACCATAACAAAAAATGTTGCGTGATCATTTGTGCCTTACAAAGTCGATGCCAGATGCCTTAAGTCCAGGCTTCTTAATTTATTGCGTTGGTAAATGAAATGGGGTTTAACGTCCTACTGCTCTGCTCCGAACTGGATATACGCCATACAGTGTGCTATGAGGAAAACTTTGCCCCGACAGCGGCACTACGGCCTACTCTTATATCGAAATCCCTCTGTCAAGGGGATCTTTTACGTGCACGCCAAAGCGTGCACGGGAACTCGGTTTTTCGTCCCCTCCGAACGACTAGACAGTTGCCCCTGTCAGGCCCTCCGACCTGCATCACGGAAAATCTAGTTGAACTTTCTCGGCCAATGCAGGGATCGAACACCCGACCTCCAGGATAGCGAGCCAGCATCTTACCCACCTAGCCACCGTGACCCCCACTTTGGTAAAATTACACAGTTGCAGAACCTGGATCAAATTTTAAATGCAATGGGTTAGCGAAGCAAAGATCTCACCAGTTAGTTAAAGAGTTAAGGCGCTTTACTACTACCGCCACGTGCGATTTCACCATACCTCGTCATCATAATAGGTGGCATTGTTGTATGACCAAGGGCGATAACTCACAACATCTGATAACTTCCAACTTGCTGAATAGTGACGTCTGATATCACAATGATGAAAAATAAAAAAATGATGGATATTAAATAATATATATATATATTGGAAATCAAATGTACAAATGGTTAACTATGGATGTAACTTTTTGATATGGGATGTGGCGTTCTAGGATTAGTAAGACCTCAGTCCCCTGCCTCTTGCATGACCCTCATCACCACTTGAACCTTGAGATAGATAGAGATAAATTCAGTTTAACGTCCAGTCGACACACACTAGATAATTTTATTTAAATAATTCGCCTGCGCATTGGGGTCTTTAGCAGTTGGGGAAACCGGAGGAAACCTACGCGGTTGGACAGGCAACCCTACGCATTGTCACTTACAAGCGGGCAATCGAACCCACTCGACTCGATGCCAGACCATATGATCTTAAGCGCACGCCTTAAAGGATTTGGCCACGCCCGTTCCCGAGAGTAGATACACACTATACGAGGTTGGAAAGAGGACCCTACCCCTTATCACCTACAAGCTGGGAATCGACACCACGCCACTCGACTCGATGACAGACCTTGTGATATTAAGCACACACCTGAAACCATTCGTACGACCAACGCCCCCCGAAAAGACAGATACTTAATTTACTTTAGGTAAAACAAACATATAACAGACAAATATGGTTTTAAGCGCACGCCTTCGCCGAGTATTAAGCAAGTCAGCGTTCTCCTCACTGTGTCACCGTGGCTACCTGGAAACGAAGCCTTAGGGTATATATAAAAGGTACTTACTTTCTGTAAAACAAATATATAATTCCTACAATTACAAGAATAATGATGATGGGAATACAGATTCCTAGAGCAGCCTTTCCTCCATTTGTTAAACCACCTTTACTATGATCGGCATTCGGTTTCGTTTCATCAACAGGAAGTGACGAACTCGGCATCGGAAGTGACGTCGATGGAGATGGTAATATGGACATAGCTGTAGATGCATTATCCAACATTGTGGAAGGAAGTAAACTTTCTGCAGAAGATGGGTTTGTCGTTTTCTGAGGATAAGTTGTACTTATCATTCCAGATAAAAAACTTGAGTCTGTTGATTGCCCAGTGGTATCGGTGTTGCTTGAACTGGGGGTTACGACCAAGTTACTGAAACCACTAGACATATCTAAAATTGAGGATGGAGAATTGTTAGATAGACTAAATGTCGAGGTGACGGAATTTAAACCTGGGGAGAGGTCCACGCTATTTAAACTACTTGTTTCTATGGTGATACTAGGAACTATGGACGGTGAAGAATATGCCGAGATAGCGGAATTACTGGAGTCTATCGATGATGTATCATACATTAGTGACGTATCATAATATATAGATGACGTCATGATGGGAACAATTAAAGACAAACATGGCGTCACATCAGTGTATTCGAATATGAAGCTGGAATCCACGGAATTGGATTGCAAAGAGACCGTGTTAACTCTTTGGCTACTTTCACTTTGAAATGTTTCACTGTTTATTAATATACTGTCAGTAGAAGGCAACAAGATAGTTAAATATGTAAAGGCAGATGTTAGAGTGTTAGTGACGTCATTTGTAAACATGCCATCACTGCTTATGCTAGAGGTTAGAGTGTTAATATCATTATTTGAAAATATTTCACTGGTTATACTGGAACTGTGGGTGTCTGAAGTTATCTCCCCTCCACCTGTAGAAGATATCAAGTTAGTTATTTCGCTTTCATATTCAAAAGATGCACTTATGCTTAATATATTTGAAGCCAAGGGAGGTGGAAGCATATGTAAGCTCGATGATGAAATGCTGGACGTACCGCTCATTTCCATGGATACTGTTGCTGTTGTTGTTAAGATAGCGATGCTGCCTGTTGTCAATAATGGTGTTTCCATACTTCCCTTACTTTCCCTTTTGATATCAGACGACGTCGTGAGCATCCCAATGGTTCCTAATGAAGATTCGCCTAGCGTTCCAGCACTAGTGGCACTTGGCATCACTGTCGGCGGGAGAGACACGCCTTGCTTCACAGTGTCTGACGAAGCTGATGGCATAATTGGGTGTGTCGTTATGTCTGAGTAGGTCATCGATGATGTAGTACTTCCCTCCAATGCTAATACCGTCATACTGGTGGGTTGATCTATGGATACTGTCATACTGGTGGGTTGAACTACGGAGGTTGGAACAAACGCTTGGTGGGTTGAAACATGCTGATCTGCAATGAATAAAATATAAGAATTACAATAGAATGTACAATTCCTTTCATGTTATTTAGTGATCGGGACATAATCAAATTTGTGTAAATGCATGATAACGACGGATGCAATCTTGTTGACACGTCGCTGTGTAAAAATGTTGAAAATTTTCAGATTAAACTGAAAACTCATTTATTTTGCACATTGAAGGAACCATAATATTCAACTGATGACATACTTATTATTTTTAACTTGCAACTGAATTCTATCTTATTTTGTGTGTAATTATAGTGTTTTTCCTATATTCTACTTGTATAATGTATATGTTTTGTAGTTTGGGAGTGACTTCCCAAACTTCCCACTTTAAAATGCTATTGCATTTCAAATGATTTTGAATTTATGCTGATGTTACATGTATATATGTCTTTGTAGCTTAGGAAGGACCTATGGAAGAATAGTTTTTGGGGTTTTTTTTTGCAAACTAAATACGTTGCCTCATTAAATAAAGTTTTTATTATTATTATTATTATTTCGATTTCAGTCTTTAGATACGGATTAACAGAAGGTTTTTTAGAACATGGTCAGTTGCTGCCATGGTCACCAAAACATAATATATAAATAAAATAAGTATCAGTGAAGACGAGAGAGAGAGAGAAATGGGGTTTAACGTCCACTCGACACAAACTAGGTCATTTCGGGACTAACATATGGTTTAATTTTATTTCAATAATTCGCTTGCGCGTAGGGGTCTTTAGCAGTGGGAGGAAACCGGAGGACCCGGAGAAAACCCACGAGGTTGGACAGGCGACCCTACTCCTTGTCACGTACAACCGGGGATTCGAAACCGTGCCAGTCGACTCAATGACAGACTTTATGATACAGCGCGCGCACGCTAACCATTCAGCCATCCACCCCCCCCCCCTCCAGTGAAGACGAACAGATCGATAATTCTGCATTAGATATACTTGATCAGAAACTATGAAAGAGAGAGAGAAATGGGGTTTAACGTCAACTCAACACTAGAGCATACACTGTACAAAAATCTGTAATAGCATAACACTAGGATTAGTAAAAAAAAAACATTTTGTTATCCACTCACAATTGAGGCAATGGCTGGCCAGACTCTCTCTATATATATGGCATTACCAAGGCAATGAAATGAAATGAAATGGGGTTTAACGTCCTACTGTTCTGGGCTAATGAAGACGGGCATACGCCATACAGTGTGCTATGAGGGAAATTTTGCCCAGGCAGCGGCACTATCGCTGCACTGCCGGGTCCCCCCACTGCTAAAGACCCCTACGCGCAGCAAATTATGGAAAAAAAATTGAACCATATGTTAGTCCCGAAATGACCTAGGTTGTGTGTCGAGTGGACGTTAAACCCCCCTCTCTCTCGACAACATGTATTTGTTATTTAAAATATTTTAAATGAAACGAAATGGGGTTTAACGGTGTGTGTTTTGAGGAAAGTGTTGTCTGGAATGCTACGCTATATTTCGATTTCAGGGATCTTTAACGTACTGCAAAATGTATACACATCCGGATGAATAGACGCCTTTCCAGGCCCTCCGTCTGGAACCACTGACATGGAAAACCAGGCCAGAAAACTGTGAGGAAAAGTTTCGGTCAACGCCGGACCGAACCCAAGGCCTGTTTAGTGAGTCGGCGTCATACTGATTGCGCTATCGTGGCTACCACCAACGTTACCCCTTGTAAACTTGACTTGTGCTTTTAGAAATATTAATTAAAATTCAAACCAAGATAACAAGGGACTGTACTCAAATCCGAATTCGCCACAACAATATTGTCATTTATTAATGGTTAAACCTCGCCAGACACGAAAATACTAAAATCCTCCTTAAACTAAACCAATAAAATAGGTGTTGACTGAACTTTAAAACTTGTGATCAATATCAAAATCCTGTAAATCTACATTCGCTCCCTTTGAAGTTTGAATCAAGACGGTTGGCACGGCAACATCTCCCCCAAGATCCGTTTACCTACATTTTTCATAAATCCATTTATCTGTTTTACGGTGTGAACCGTGGCAGTGTGTCAAAATCGCCAGGATTTCGTACAAGTACATCACAGTTAGCTTTCCAATTGACTTTATAAACTTGCGGTGTCAATGGATCTGAAACACTTACATTAAAAAAAGCATTTTACAATGGCCAAGAACTTAATTTTGTGATATACTCAGCCAATGAGCAATCGGTAATCTCAAGTTCCCTGCCCATGACACATGTTACCACTGTTTGTCGTGTATTTTGTACACGGTGAACAGTCCATTTGCTGATTACACCATTTTGCCTATACCATTATTTTAGGACTTCGAATTTTGTATAATGGTTTGGATTGTTCGTACTAGGTTGTATTTTATAACTAATATTTTATCATAACCATTACTCTAGCGGCTTCATAAATTTATATATTTTAGGGCCTGTATCAGTTTCTATATTTTAGTGGCTGCATCTATTTCTATATTTAAGGGGTTGTATGCGTTTAAGAGACTACCCTGTTCTATACTTTAGAGACTATGTCCATTTCTATACTTTAGGGACCACCCTGTTCTATACAGAGAGGAGAAAGAGAGAGAGAGGGGGGGGGGGGGTAACGTCCACTCGACACAAACTAGGTCATTTCGGGACTAACACATGGTTTAATTTTATTTCAGTAAGTCGCTTGCGCGTAGGTGTCTTTAGCAGTGGGAGGAAACCGGAGGACCTGGGGTAAACCTACGAGGTTGGACAGGCGACCCTACTCCATGTCACGTTGACTCAATGACAGACCTTAAGGTACAACATGCACACGGTAATCATTCGGCCATCCGCCCCCCTTGTGTGTATAAAGAGTGAACAAGTATTGATTTGTATTTATATTATATATCGATGTATGTATATCTAACCATCACGCTATATCTGTCTTTATAAATCATTTAACAAACCAGGACATTAACAACAACACAGCACGCAATTCCTCTAACGGGCTGACAACTTCCATTTTCCGGTGAAGGTCGTGTGTGCATTTGACAGATAAGCATTTCATTTAAGCTAGATCGGTTTAGTATTTAACGAGTAACATGGGTTTCTAAAAGGGCGTAACATACAAAATCTAAACGCATAATGTATCTAGAATATAGAAATGAATACAGCCACTAAAATATAGAAATTGATAGTCTCTGTATAGAAGGGAGGTTGGATGGCCCAATGGTTAGCACGCGGGCGCTGTATCATACGGTCTGTCTTTGAGTCAACTGGCGGGGTTTCGATTCCCTGGTTGTACTTGACAAGTGAATTATTGAAATAAAATAACACCATATCTTAGTCTCGTAATGACCTAGTTTGTGCCCCCCCCCCCCATTAGTTATTCTTGCCTAGTTCGGTTCCTACTCATCGAGGCACGGTGGGTCAATAAAAACAGTCATCATAATAATGCTGTCTGGTGAAGAAGCAAAGGTTAATAAAGTGACAATGCACATTAATAGGCATTCTCTGACACCAGTCATTTTATAGCATAAAACATGGCCAAGTCATATGGAATACAAGTCATTTTATCATCTAAATTGTACATAATATGATTTATACTGTATATTTGTGTTATATTATGACTGCCAGTTGCAAATCTGTTAAAGATCCATTTTAAGGAAGCGATTGTATATAAGTTGATAAAGCTTGTTATCGTATCCTATATTTATTATATGAATTTTGTAAATTTAAATGAATAAAATATTGTTTAAACAAATAAAAATGGAATACAAGTTACCTGGGTGTCTATTTGGACGTTTGTTCTCGAACAAGTAATGCTAAACCATACTTAGATAGGGATTTACGTCCGCTACCTCCTATCCCAGACATTCCATGGTACAGTGGGGGGTCACGGTGGCTAAGTGGGTAAGATGCTGGTTCTCCCTTGTCAGTGATGCAGGACGGAATGGTGTATTGCCGTTTTCATTAACCCAAAACCAGTTGGTGCAGAAAAAGTAGGCCGTTAAACCCCATTTCATTTCTTAACATAAAATGACGTGCAATCTGATTAAAATACAGATCTATATTTCGTTTCGTTTTTTTATACTTTCGATGGCCTACACTACATGAAGAACTGACAAGATGTAGTGATAGGTCGCGTCATAGGTCATACGAGCGGCTTTTGACCCTATGACGTCAGACATTTGATTGACCAATCAGCACTGATGTTTCTAGTGGATTACTAACAGTTCTGTGCAAAACACGCCTAAAGCTCGCCGTAACAGACCCTTTCATTGGTTAATCCCTAACACCATCCAGAACATGTCAATGATAAAGTAAAACGGAATACTGAACAATAAAAAAACGAAACGAAATAGGATCTGTGTTTTAATCAGATTGAATGACGTGCTGTATTTCATTAAATACAACATAATGATATTACAATATATTTGGTATTAAAGGTGTGGTTATACTGTAAAGTTTAATTAACAGATAAAGGGAGTTTCCCCGAGTTACAGGTGCAATACAGGATATTAGTGATGATATTTTTATAGCCATTTATCACACTTATAATAGACATATTTAAATATATCTTAGCAGTTTGGCTGTCTGCATCAGTTGGTTTCATTAATCAATTTGTAACGTAATGGGTTTAACGTCCTATCGTTCTGCGTCTACTGGGCTAATGAAGACATGATATATATATAGAGAGAGGGAGAAATGAGGTTTAAAGTCCACTCGACACAAACTAAGTCATTTCGGGATTAACATACGGTTCAATTTTATTTCCATAATTCGCCGGCGCGGAGGGGTCTTTAGCAGTGGGGGGACCCGGAGAAGACCCACGAGGTTGGAAGGCGACCCTACGCCTTGCCACGTACAACCGGGAAATCAAAACCATGTCAGTTGACTGAATGACAGACCTATGATACAGCGCGCACGTGTTAACCATTCAGTCATCCACCCCACCCCCTGGGTTAATGAAGACAGGATATAGAATATGAATCAAAAAGTAGCTTTTAAATTATCTCTATTGACCTACAATTATCTTCA